AATATAGGAAGACATTGCATCAACAAGCTCTCCAAGATTGTGTGGAGGGGTATTTGTGGCCATGCACACCTGAAAGCATAAAGAATGGAAACAATCGCATGACAAAGGGATACGTAAACTGGTATAAAAATGCATAGTAGATAAAATCATTTAACTATTTTCTAGGTCAGACCGATTACCTCAATTCCAGAGGCATCATTCAGGACCAGATTCGGGATTCTAGCAGGGGGTAGAGATGGCTCTTTTTGTGATTTGTCAAAATTTGGGACAAAATTAACCTGTAAATCATCATTTCATAAGTGACTAACTCAGAAGTAAGAAACTTATAATTAACGTGTAATGTAGATGACATACTTCATTTTGATCTATGTCTGAGAGCGGCATTGCCTCTGTAAGTGCCTGAAAATGAAACCATTTATTAGCATCGTCAGAAACGAAAACCATGGGCCTACAGTTTACAACCTAGTAAACATGCCCTTTTGAAATGAAGGGGTTATTTGATTTAATATGAGTATCAGAATAAGAATATAAAACTTACAAAAGATAATGGGTATTGGCAAAAGAGGCTTTACCCATCGGCATAAAGCATAAATGGCCATTAACATTAATTTTAACAAAATATTACATGCGTTTTTGTTTCATTCCCCTCCCTCTCTTCAGGAAGCAGCCATTGTGATACCAAGACGAAGCACGTCTCGTACAGACCTCAGGGATCCAAAAGTTATTATGTACCTAAAATTAGGGGTCAAGCTACGTACATCCAACCCCCCCACCCAGCCATGAGCGGGAGCCTTTGACCACTGGGGTAATGTTGTTTTTGTTGTATGTAAACTGCAATGAAACAAACAAAGTGGGAGAGAGGAAGTTGTTTGCTACTAGGATTCAAATTCTGGAGAGCAAAATTAAGAATTGATTATACTCAGTATATAAGAAAAATACAGCACCAACTGATTTTAGCTAATTGTAAGAATCTGAATCCTGGAATAAGCAGAAAAATTGAAACCGGATGAGCTTTTATTATGCAAGAATGCAAGTGATAAACCTTTTTTGCTCATAGCATAATC